TATATTTAAGCACTAGAAATAAATTATTGAATAATTTTATGACACATTTTTATTCAGATGGCCGTTTTAACTCATTTCATTGAAATTTTTCTATTGAAACAAATTTGATCAACGTATAACTTAGCATGCATTGTTCTTTCAAGCTTAATGTAATCGTTACTCTATCTTGTGTAGAACATTACTTTCCTTTACTACAGTATATTGTTAAATATTCCAGAACAATAAAGATCAAAAACATAGATATCATATTAATTGTTCATTTGAAAGACAATTATCGAAGTAAATGTCTTAGTTTTAATGAATCGGATGTAGTCACATTGTTTGGATAATTGATGATTTGAAAGTACACTCTAATAAAAATCTTTTTTAATTATTTAATATTATTATACATTTTTTATTTATATTTTCTACATCAAATGTAAATTCGAATACTATTTTTAAAGAACGGAATATTGCTGTATTAAATTTAATAAATCTTTATGATTGAAATGTTATAACTGTATGCAGTAGACCCCCCCCATAACGCGGTAGATATGTTCCTCGCTATACGAATTTCGCGTTGTAGGAATCCTTAAATACATGAGCCAATCGCAGCCCGACACGTGTGAAGTTTACGGACTACGGTTGTTTGAAAGGTTTTCTTCCATAAAATTAACCGATTCTAGACTAATTCGACTTAGCATTTCCAAAATACCTGTACTATAATTTTTTGGGAATAATCCGTATAAACTATGCTATAAACAAAAAATTGTAGGATTACTTACCGAGTGTGCACCGTTCGACGTCGCCATTACTTAAGCTTGTGTTCGTCGCGGAGCAGCGCACCAAACGGCGGCCGAGATTTCTGATATCATTTTTCTGCGAAAAATTCGTTGAATACTTTGGAGACATCATTAGTAGAAATAATTTTTATGGCCGTTGAATAAGAAATGTTTCTTTCACAAGAAATGTATAAAATTACAGTGCTGTATTAGACTTACGGTACCTAATTTACATACTGTACAGACGATAGTAAACTCAACTTACTCGCCTAAACTCTCCGTAGCGTGGCGCTGGACGGCGGAAAGTATATATATAATTATAATAAAGTTACAATAAATTAAGTTAATATATAATTATATATACAGTACCTAATTTATATATAATTAATATATAATTATATGTACAGTACCTAATTTATATATAATTAATATATAATTATATGTACAGTACCTAATTTATATATAATACTGTACAGACGATAGTAAACTCAATTTACCCGCCTAAACTCTCTGTAGCGTGGCGCTGGACGGCGGAAAGTAGTTCGGCTGCTCGTCCGCGATGACGTTTTACGCGTCCCTTTTAGCGTCTTTATATGAATACTGTCGCAATTTTTTCGCCGCGTTATAGGAATATACGTTATAGGAACCCGCGTTATAGGGGGTCTACTGTATTTACACAAATGAAGAATTTAAAAATTTAATCTTAAAGACTGGATGGCCGAGGAAATAGCTTGTCTCTCTAAGGAGATTCGTGATCATCAGAAATTTTCATGGGATTAACCATTATATGTGAGATATCTATCAATTTATTTTCAATGTTTGATAGAATGCATTTGAGAATCTGTTATCTACATATTATATTTTTATGTGAATTACTGCCTTTCTAACTTAAATATACTTTTTCAAAGAAAATTTTATAAAAATTTGTCTAGTGGAGATTCGTGATTTTCGTAAGGGTGAAGATGTAGAGTATTAAGAAATAGAAAGAGTGAATTTTCCTATTCGTAGGTCGTGGAGAAACCGTATAGGGTTGCAATAACGATATTAGAGAGGGACTCAACTTAAAACGTTTATAAAGTTACATTCATTCTTGTGTAGCCACTAGCATTTTGGATAAAAAGTAAACTCTTCGATATTATACTTGTATATACGTATGTTTAAGTGTGTTTCTCACATTCAAGTCTTTTTCCTGTACTTATTGCATATTTTCTTAATTTATTTATTAACAAATATAAGGTATCTCGGCTGCCTGGGCTCCATCCTGGTTTCGCTATTTGTTAATTGCTACTCCCAGGAAAACGAGAGTCCAAGGCGGTTACCCCAGGAAGAAACTTTTAATTTAGAAATATATGGTGAAATTTTTTAATTAATTAAAGGAAAGAGGTACTAGATAAAATGAATGAATGAAAGCCTGTAGAATTATTTATTTATACGTAATACGCTAACATTTTTAAATGACAAATCGGATAGCTGAAGGAATTTTAATAAAATATCAGTAGCTAGTTTTACTAACACATGTATGATGTAAGGCTACTATATTAGCCCTTTTAGGTAATTGTTTGGTTTGATGGTTTGAGGCAATGCAACACATGGGCGATTTTCCAAGGAGGTGCCTCTTGAGAGACCTTTCCTTAGGAAACTAGCCTTTGTTTAGGTATTAGACCACGAAAACTTCAAGCAGCCAGCCCATTTGTGAGACGCGAATCTGTGACCAACTACCAGTATTCAGTAGCTTTATGTTTGGTGTAAGGAGATACTTTTAAAATACGAAGCCAAATGGCATGTTATTCAGTAGCGTTTGTAAATTATAACCTTGCCAGAATTTTTTAAAAAAAGTTCATGTACTATGAACAAGCAATATTAATAAGAGTATCAGATCAATAATCAATACACACTACAAAATTTTCAGGAGAAGTTATATATCTTCCATATATTCAATGGCGCTACGCCATTGTATTTTTCAAATAAACATAATTCATTTATATCATATTTAAATTTCTTATATGTGGCAATATAATTTATATGATTTGGCCACTTATTAGATATGATATAGTATCATTCAACAAAATAAGAAATCAGTAATAAACTATATTGACAAACTGCAATATATTAAATGATCAAATAAGTGATTTTTAATGATAAAATATAAAAAATGAACTAATTTATTAAAATATATTAAGGCTGATTGTAACCTTTTTAATTATGCACGCGATCTCCAGCAGATGGCGTTAAAAATTTAATGCTTTTTCTATGGGAAAATCTTTTTTCAAAATTCTCAAAAATGAAAGCAAATAGAACCAAACAGTTTTTTGCGTTAGAATCCTATTTAATTCTTCTGTTAAGATACGGTTCAGAATTTTGAAACTCAAATTCGTTAATTTTCTATGAATTTTTAAATTCGTAGAAAATTTATAGAAAATTAATGAATAAGAATTTAAAAATTCTGAACCGTACGTTAATCGAAGAATTAATTGGGATTCTAACGCAAAAAAACTGTTTGGTTCTATTTGCTTTCTTTTTCGAGAATTTTGGAAAAGAGTTTTCCCATAGAAAAAGCATTAAATTTTTAACGCCATCTGCTGGAGATCGCGTGAATAACCAAAGAGATAACAATCAGCCTTAACAATACAGTAGAACCTCGATTATCCGGACTAATTGGGGATGAAGGTAGTCCGGATAAGGAAAAATCCGGATAATCGAAACAAATACTTTAATTTGTCTTTTAATGATAATACAACACGTTTTCTTTTCGATGACATATCGGTAACATTAAAAGTAAATACTGTATTTAAATCGTGATCAAATTTTCAAGAAACAAACGTTCGTATCGAATTTGGACTACTACTGATCAACGCTAACAAACTACCTATTGTTTAAAAGGCCCTCTGGTGGCGCAATAAGACGGATTTTATAAAATAAAAAGCAGTTTAAACTACATTTTTATGAATAAAAATTTGACAAACTATTTATCGTTTTATGACGAGTAAAATTTTTTCGTCGCGTTCACGGCTTTTAAGTAATGCATTAACCTTCGAAGCGCGAGGCCCTTCGGACCGCGAGGCATAGGCGGTGGCCCACGTCGTCCATGCCTTACGCCGCCCTTGGTCATAGAAACGATGTGATTTGAATATAAATTATTTATAAATACGTATGTCAAGTTTTTTATTACTACGTAAAATATATTTAAGAGTTTACGGCCACTGTGCCGGGTGAGACGTTGTAGAAACAAAAAAAGTTATGCACTCCATCACGTACATAAACAGTATCGTAATTCGCCAAGTACAAATCAGCAAATTCGTAAAATGTTTGTTTATTTTGGAAAATCCGGATAACAGAGGTCCGGATAATGGAGGTTCTACTGTATTTCATATTGAATATTTTATTTCTATTTAAATCATTCATATTTTGCAATGAGTTCGTATGCTTTTTTCATATATAAATAATTGAATTATTAAATAAACTTAAAAAATAGATGTTTAGAATATTAATTTGGTATATTATACGGTATTAAAAATATCCTATCAGGATCTAATTTTTAAATTGAAAACCATATAAAATCGCGTTATTTCTATAGTTTTTTTCTAATCTTGTTTACTTTGACGAATGAATAGAAAGTTCATTTAAGTATAGGGATTTTTATATAAAGAAAAATTTGAAGTGTAGAATCTAATCTTATTCTAGTTGGAAAACAGACTACAGCTCTTACGTCCTGTCCATGTACCGAGAAGATATTACCTAATGATGTGAGAAAACTAGCCATGCTGCTCTTCCCTCGGGGAGCAGACATTACAAACACACATATATATATTTTGAAACTTCTTTCTAAGAAAGAAGAAAACCTATAATACAGTAAATTCACCCATGCAAAAATATATAATCTATTTATTTTTACATTGATCAGAGTTCATACGATCACAGATTTTTATGACGATGTGAATCTGGATACTTTCCGCTTTTCATTGAAATCAATACAAATTTGACTTCCAAGTTAGTACAGAGTTTATTGATATCCACTTTAAAATGGTTTAAATTCTTTATAAAAAGATTTCACGTATTTCTTTTCTTAAAGAATATTTGATGCACAGTTATAAATATTTTCCTAAAAAATAGGCTTTTACATCTTTATATTGTTGAATTATTTTAGAGTCATATTAGCAATTATTTTATTGAAAATAATTTTATAAAATAAAATATTTTAATTTTCAGTTTATTAAAATAGTATTTGTATATATATTTCAGGGTATAGTTATCATGTCGATGTCATTAGAGCAAGTTTTTCTTAGTATATTAAATGGAAAAATACCGGATTTATGGATGGTTAAATCTTATCCAACGTTAAAACCATTGGGAAGTTATATTAATGATTTTATTGACAGAGTGAATTTTTTCCAAGTTAGTTTTTTTATGTAAATTTTTATATTTTTTACATGCAATTTTACATATATTTTTATATATTTTTTATTTAGAAATGGTATGAACGAGGACCTCCTTCAGTATTCTGGATTTCTGGTTTCTATTTCACTCAAGCATTTCTCACGGGAGCACAACAGAATTATGCACGAAAATATACCATACCCATCGATCTTCTTACATTTGATTATGAAATATTAACAGATAAACCTTATTTTCAACCGCCAACAGACGGTAAGTTATTTTTATTATTTTAAAATTTTTAATAATTAATTAAACAACTGCATAAAAATTGAAGAATATAGACTGTCATTAACCATTGATGATGATAATGTTAGTATTTTTCGTTTGCAATTCATTTAAAAATTATTAATTAGAAGAAAATTTGGAATATTATCCATTACCATTTTCTTTATTGTTGACATCAATATTTAAATTTAAATTATTTTTGTATTAAAGTAGAATATATTTTACAACCTGAAATACTTTGTGCCAAAATTCATTCCACAGTTTTTTAATATAAAAATATAGTGTTTATTTTTGTGATGGAGAATATGTCAAAGTTTGGAATGCTTTTTATTTCAGAAACTTGAGATAAAATATTAACATATGTCGAAACTTTCGAACCGTATATTAGCATATCCCAGCAGTAATTTTTCTTTGTTTCCTATAGGAGTATATATAAGAGGTTTATTCATTGATGGTGCCAGTTGGGATCACCAAACTTGGAAACTTTGCGAATCTCAACCGAAAGTTCTCTTTAGTGATTTGCCTGTGGTAATTATTTATTCATTTTTATATATTTTTGAACATATTATTTTCATTTAAAACAAATATTTTTTATCAAGGTTTGGTTAAAACCAATGAGAAAAGCGGATACAAAGCCATATCCAAGTTACCTCTGCCCAGTATACAAAACTAGTGAAAGGAAAGGTATTTTATCAACGACAGGACACTCGACTAATTTTGTCATTGCCATGCTTCTTCCTTCTGATAAACCAGAAGAGTATTGGATATGTCGTGGAGTGGCTCTTCTTTGTCAACTAGATAATTGATTTATTTTGTACAGATAAGCCAAAATTTTTTATTGGATTAAAATTTCGAATTGATATATCTTCACTTTAGATAATTAATTTTTTAAATTAATTTTATACCCAAACAATGAAACATTTCTCAGCATTCGTGTTATTTTTCACAAGCCAGACACTTTATAATTGAAAACTTAGATCGTGGCATAATTATAATACGAATTTTTATAGGCTTTTTTTACAAAATTACGAAGTTAAAAAAATAAAAATATAACAAGAATTCATTAAAAATGTTTTATAAATTCATTACTTTTAACAAGATATCGACTTGAAAATTTATTAAAAGTTTTGAACTGAAATTAAAGCAGTATTGGTTTTAAAGATGTAAATCCGCTTTCATTTTGTTTGTGTAAAATCTAGAGAGGACCTATTCGGATGTTATCCAATTAAATTGTTTAAACTGTGCAAACATTCCAAAGCAAATTTCACGGGACTAAATATTGACTTTAGTCTAAAGCAGTGAATGCAAAACGATCGCTAAGATAATTGAAAGAATAAAATTGTTAAACTGTCATTTATTTAAAACTGAGACAAGAAAGTAATTCAAAAATTAAGTTTGATGATCGATATTAAATTATGATTTATCGTTTATGGATAAACTTAGTGTCTTTTACCAATACCAGATGACGCCGCTGATCTATTGTTAACCTTTCTTCCTCCCACACCAAATTGCTTTTTTCGAATTTCTCTGTTTTATTGTTAGATAATTCATCCTTCAACATTCCTACGAAAGAATAGAATTACATTCGAGACGAAAAAACCATTAACAAAGTTCATAAAATAAATAAAGTTAACAACGATTGCTAGTTCACTTTTGCTATGTATAATCATTATTTTTAAATCTAACTTTTTATAATACAATTTATTTATTAAAATATTTAATTTTTTCGAAGATTTTATAAGAATTTAAATAATTTTATTTCATCTTCAACCGTTTTCTCAAAGCACAATTAATACAATCGTTTAAGTTGCATGGACTTGCTGTAACGAAATTTCGTTTTAAATGGGTAGCATCTGGCTATAAATTTTATTATATTTTAAATAATTATATTATAAATATCACTATCTAAGAAAAGATGTATGCATTTTAAAGTTTTTTCAAGATTTTTTCCCTTTATCTCATGCAGAAAATCAGTAGTTTTTTCCTCAAATCGATAATTCATTTTTATTGGAAATTCGTTCGATACATTTTCGTGGATTTGAAAATTCAAAAATCTGAAAACATTTTTTTTCTTTCTTTTCTTCAGTTCTGATATATCGTGATACGTCACGTGAGATTTTTGTCACCGGATTTATATATATATATGTTTATACTTTACAAAAATATATTCTCATACTTTAAATCGTTGTAGTTTGTCTTTCATGTTTGGATTAAATCTGCGAATTTGAAATTCTGTGTCATTATCAACGTGTATAGAAAGTTATTTGTTTATATTTTAGTAAATTGCATTTTTTGGTGTGAAAGTCGTGAAGTTACTTGCCGTTCGAACTTCAGAAATGTCATATTTTATCTTCCTGTTTCCATCATCTAGCGTTGATATTACAAGGAGCATATCCCAGGAGATAGATCACCAGGGATATAAATGGGGGGACTCCATTGGAGTAGTCGATATTTGGAAGAGTCGAATAGGGACACTTAGTTCACCGACAGCATCGTCTTGCACTACAAACACACGCCATCAACCTTTGAATAACGACACAGTACTTGTTATTCTCGCTATTAATATAAGTAACGATGAATAATGTTATCGCCTCGGTATATTTTCAATTAATCTGATAACTCCCATTGCACTTTATTTATGATTTAAGAGCGCAGAGAGAATAAATTCGTCCGCATATATCTATATTTTTATCAAAACCCTTCTTCGAAAACATATTAAACAGGTGAATATATTGGTAGAGTTGAACGGAAATGGAATATATTATTCAGAATTTCGTTAGCTTCGGCTCCATATATATTGTATACTGCATATAACATTCCAACAAAACTAAAAAAAAAAAAATATTCTGTCTAGTTTTAAATTTGTTGAAGAGTCTGTCGACTTTAGCCAAGTTTCTTTTTATTTTTCTTTAATAGATAATTTGACGGAAGCAAAAAGTTGAAATGTCACGGATACTTGTCACGATATTTTGTTAAGAAAGGAATCTGACGTCACAAAATGAATTGTGGAGTGTTCTGTGAAGTGCTGTAGTGATACCAGAGTTTTTATTCTCCTTATTTTATCTGACAAGAAAAAAAAAATTAGTTGAGTAAATATAGAAACGTATCATTCGCAACTGCTCAATAAATAATAATTTTCGAATGTTAGTTTTCTTATAAAAAAATAAATAAAATAATAGTAACTTACATGGAAAAAGTTCGGCTCTTTTTTTATGATTTTACGAGTAAAGCTTGGAGTAAGTAAAGATCGGTCACCAAGATACGAAACTATGTGATTTTATGATAAAAAAAGTAGTCTAGTCATTTCATTACGTGAAGAAAAATAGTAGCATAATAAAGGAGCAGAATGTCGAGTTTTTAACCTCAAAATTTTTTTGTAGTTAAATAACCGCTTTTAGAAGATCTGATATCTGATATTGTCCCTAGTCTTGCATATTATTACTTTAAATTCAATATGTGGAATACACTAGAGAGAGATCAAAACAGACAACTGTTTATTATCTTGGAAAAAATTGAATATTTGATTACCCTCTTGAAAATTATGATAAATTCTTCTTATATTTTTCAAAATGATGATATTGAATTCAAGCAAACTTCCTATTCATATAGAATATATAATGAAATTTATGTATATTTTACTTTAAGAACCTCATATTCTTACCATTTAATAAAATTTATCTGTATATTTAAGTTATAAATTTTAAAAAAGAAATTGAGGGTGAATGTATTTTGAGTTTAACCTATACCTTTGTTTATATTTCACTTTTTCGGTTCTGTAAACATCCTTTAGTTGGATCGTTTAGAAAAATAATTGTTATAGGCCAATGTTTTTTCATTAAAAGAAGAGGCCCTTAATGTTAAATTTAATCAATGGAAGCAAACAATAGGAAAAAGCAATTTACTCTTCACAATCATTGGAAAGAAGTAAAACACTCTGTTTAATATTTCCCAGCTTAGAACTTCATTAAAATTGTAGGATGTGAAAAGAGATAAACTGCAGAACATTACTTTATCATCTTTCTATTGGAATTTATGTTTTATAAATATTGTCATTATGTTTTTTTGATAAATTACAATGATTTATGTAGGCCAACGTGCATAATTTCGGTAGAAAAATATTATTATTTTAATAATTGTTGATTTTATCATAAAAAAATGATTATATTTTAATATAGTAGAAGAATTTAATTTTATTAAAAAAAAAGAAATGCAGAAAGTCCAACAACAACAAAAAACAGAATCTGCACAATTTCACCAGACAAATTCCAGAATGTTTGTGTTCTCTTATATTTATTTGCTTCCATTTTAAGTTTGGAAGTCATGAATAAAAAGCCAAAAAAAAAAAAAGTGAAGTGACAACAAAGAAGTGAAGTTTCTAATACATTAGAAGTAATGGTCATGATAGAAAGTTGCTTTTTAAATTGCCAAATAAAAACTTTTATTTTATTTATTATTTTTTTTAAGTTAAGAAAAATAAATTTATAAAAAAAAACAGAAAAAATGTAATTCTTGTTTCATTCACTAAAAAATGTAAACATTATCATNGAGTGAAGAACGTGATATCAGGCACAATATATTGTAATCCTCTTAAGGTCAAACTCGTGATTTTGCAGTTCTTTTGTTAAATTATCAAAAGTACAACATCTACAAAAATAAAGATGTGAAGTAGTGATGACGTCTTTGTGCAACATCCTCTTCCCTATCAACAGCGTTACGCTCCCGGAGTTAACATATGAACGTCCCCAAAATTATGAATTTCTAATTATCGGTGTAACATTTAAAGGAATTTATGTCTATAAAATTATATAACACGATATCATAAATTTATCATTTAATAAGGTATTTTCATACATTCTAATACCTTTTATAAGTTGTACAGGTAGAGTTTTATCTCAAATTTACTTATTATTTATGTTATATAAATATAAACCTTTTATATATTAATGTATAATTAAATAAGATCCGAAATATATATTTATAAGGAAAGAATATTTCGGCAATAAATCTTTCCTAAATAGTTTTTCTTGACCTTGTTCTTTGAATTTTTTAAACTAAATATATCCTATTTTAAATTCGCACATATTTCACATCAGTACTGAAATAGTAATAGCCAGATAAGGATATGACAGTTAATATAGATATATATTGAAATTAAATTTCTTCTAATTTTACCCATTTTTGCCATTTAATTGTACTATGATAAAGGGATGTAATGATACTTAACTGAATCTCATCTTGTTACGTTTTGGAAGAATAAGGATATTAAATTATATATTTAATTATCAAAATTCTATATGTATGACCTCTTATAAGTCAAGAAAGGCCCGTGACGCTTATTTTTTTGAGGCTTTCGATATATTTAAAATACAGAACAGTGTTTTAAAATTCTATTAATAGAATTTTCAAAATATTACATAAAAGAAAAGACATCCTCCATATATATTACATCAAAAAATGCTCATTTCTATCCTTTCTTTTTCCTGTTATCAAGTATCATTATTATAAAAGCCTCTCTAGGATATTACATAATCATAATCAGTACATCTCCTCTTTATTAATAAAATAGATACAAGTAATTCGAAGCTTGATCATTTCATATTGCAATATTTTATTTTTACATCAATCGCAGCAAACAAGTAAGACATCAAGTTCTAATGGTCTCAACCCACTTTCTTGTTATCCAATCATTCCGACTGCTTATATTGATAATTGGCAATCTGTCGACATGCTCAGTAGATCTTGCGGGCAAGAGATTCTTGTCAACCTGTTATACACCGAATATCGTATTTACATTTAAATTGACGAGAAACTAGGTTACACTGAATACTAATAATTATTAGCTTTTCTTGTGTTTACCTTTATATCTACTTCATCTAACAACTTACTGAATTCCAGATTTAATCCATCTTTCAGTATTTTATTTTCATTT